CTAACTCTTGTTGCCTATCAATGTCATCATAGTTCACCACTACAGCCTATGTGGTCAACTATAAACTATGTGGTGCATAGTTTTTTGCTCCTGGCTTCAGTCTTTGTGGCCTCTAGTTGTCATCATAACTCATCATTGTGATACACATAACTAACTATGATCTGCATGGTCTGCAACTCTTAACTCTAGCATAGGTGGCCTATGAACATCATCACAACTCACCACTATAATTTACATGGTTCATAGCTCATGCAACTCCTGACTCTGACCTCTTGGGCCTACGGGCATCATCACAACTCACCGATACACCATTCATGCCCAACTACACCCTACGTGGTCCACAACTCATGTAACTCCTAGCTCAGGCCTCTACGGCCTACGAGTGTCATTACAAGTCACCCTATGGCATACGTTATCAACTACAGACTACGCGGTCCACAACTCATGCAACTCTCGAATTTGGTCTTTGCAACCTATAGACATCATCACAACTCGTCACTACAGCCTACATTGCTCACAGCTTGTGCAAATTTCAACTCTAGCTTGTATAGTTAACGGATGCTCCTAAAGTAATCATCTGCGGCCTACACTACCAACTACTACCATGAATTTCAACTGCGATCTATACAAAAAGCCAGCTCTATAGCCATTATCTACAATATTAATGGTAGACTACTACTTCATAACAATCGATTACGACCTTTGCAGCCTACCATCTGTGAAACTACATTCATTATAACAAGTGAGCCATACTAGACTTATTATCTAAGTACTATTATGGTACATTTATAGTGATCAACTTTGTAACTTTATTTTCTCTAATTCAGGATAAAAGTATACATTTTTACTCACCATTCATAGTGGTTTAGTTCACCTATCTCAGACTCCGTGGTTTTTTCCCTTTTTTAGAGTTTTCTACGTAAACATTTTGGTTTCTCCTTCTGCTTACTTCTCTTTTATTACATGAATGTGTGATGGGCTTTCGTGCAACTTTAAGTTGATAAGTCAGTATTCTATCATCGTAGACCTTCTGGAATGCATCAGATATGAAAATACATAAGAGAATTGAGATAAATGTATGTAAATATTCCAAAAGAAAAACGCATGTAAGCATATTTTTTATGCTCTATTTTATGCACAACTTGCCACTACTTTTGTTGAAGTTAAACTTATTTAAATCACCTTGACAAGTTCCTCATATTGGTATAATCTGCTAGCTGATATGATTAATAAATATGTAGAATATACAAGCATAATTATTGTATGTGGCTAGTCAGGGTGTTGTGGGCTCCAAAGATTCTCACCTTGGCCTCTCGTTAAGAGATTTGGTGTTAATTTTTGGATTAATTTTCAGTAAGCAAAAAAAATTTTTAGATAAGACATTATCTAAATATTTCACTCTCATTTTTTAAAGACTTTTTGATCGGTTTCAAGGTTTCCTATAGGTTCATACCCTATAGTTAATTACCTCTCCCAATAACGTGAAACCAATTTCAATTAAGGCTACTAATTAAGACGCTAAATGCTCAAACTTAATATATAATATCAGCAGTTAGTTTTTAAATTGATTAATTTTTTCACTGTTGTCTCAGTGTAGCAGTGAGAGAAATTGTAACACACCTCAAGATCTCAAGTTTCTATCGTCTTGGGTCAACCCATGGTCCTTGGGCTTTTTTTTGTTGGAAGAGGTAATCAACCCAACTTGACATAAGGATCCTTGTCGGTAGTCATGGGTTGTTTTGTTAAAAGGAACCTTACAGTCCTAGGGTGAATATTTGCATAAGGGGACACGATTAAGTTACAATTAGCAAACAAAAATCTTAATGTCCTATCAAGTGTACTATATATTTCATAACTTAATAAACAAAATCACTGGAGAACTTACGAGCAACAGTAGTAATTGTAATACGGTGGCGCATGTTATTTGGTGGTGAATCACCCAGTTAGAGAATTATGATAGTAATTGTTATTTTATGGTATTATTTGACGGTAAAATAATGAACAGAGGACACTAGCACGTCCATACCGGCTTGAGATTATATAAGTGTGATTATAGAGAATCAGGCATGATACACCTTTCCTTTATTGGGATAACCCTAGTCTCTCTTCCAGATACAAGAAATAAGAGCAAAACAATCAATCTATTTCTATTTGAAGACCAAAAATATTTTTCAAGCGTCTCCTTTTAGGACCAATGGAATTCATAAGTATATGAAGAAGCTCCATAAATTAGAGAATTTTCTCTCAACCATCTCTCGATTATTTAAACGTGATAGAAGGACCACTACTACAAGAATTACTACAACTTTGATCATAAAATATCCACTACTTGTTTCACCCTTTGAATCGCATAAAAATCGGGTACTCCAAATCCAGGAGTCAAAGAGTTACTTAAAATATTCTAGATGGAAAAAATGTGAGTGAAAGATCCCACTAAATTGAATTTGACTCATGATTCTAAGAAATAGTGAAAATTTTTTATCTGGCTCAATTTGAATATCCAGAATTTGAATTGATGTTATTTCATTGATTCCTCCTAAATATTTAATTTCAACTTAAATTTGGTTAGTCACTTTGTATGATGAACCTTGTTAAACATCCATAGTTGAATGGTTAAAGCTCCCAACTCATAATTGGCAAAATTTCAATAATTTTAGTTTTTCTTTTTTTTTTTTTTTGAGCTTAAGTTAATTTTAAATTTATCACCCTCTATAAAATGGTTTGGAGGGTGGCTTAATAATTTTTTAATCATTTTAAATTCATATTAAAAATTTAATTTGCCTAATTTTAATCTTTTTTTAAGCCCCTTTGTTTTTTTAACTTGGTCATTATTGAGGATTCAAGTCATTTCATTATTATTTAGACATTGTCAACTCTATTTGCTTGCTTGCACATGATTAGGTCTAGCTAAAATTAGTTTGTTTTATCAACTCTAATTTTTATCAAGAGGATAAGATTAATTTGTTGGAAAACATGTATTATTTAATAATTTTGAATTGAATTTTGAACAAGATTTTTTTTTTTTTTTGTGAAATTTATATTATTTTCACATCTCTTAAAACTGATTAAGATTGATTTAAATTTAATTTCTATCTATGCATCATTATCATATCACTTGTTAAGGTATTAGTACATTGATCTGAGTATAAGCACTTAAAGTTGATTTTAAGTAAGGTTGCGCAACATTTTCGAACCACTTACTCAGGATTCAGTGCACTGACCAGAGTACATTTGGGCAATTTTTTTTTTAGTTTTAAGCCTTAAATTTTGTCTTTTGTCTGCTCGTATATGTGTTGAGAATCCGGTGATGATCAAGGCGAACTAAAGCTTGTTCGATATTTAATATATTGTAAATAATTAATACTTAAAACCCTTTTTGATTCTTGTAGGCCCCAAGTGAAACTTTTCATTTTCATTTTCATTGCATTTGTATTATGACTTTGGGTTTTTGAGAGTTTTGAGTTTTAAGTTGCTCGTGGGTGGTGACTCCATTCTCTTTTATTCATTTCTAGTTTTTTTTTGTCAATTTGTAGTGACACGAGTTATCTATTATTTTAAGCATTCATCTAATAGTATGTTATATTTTATGTTTGAGTTAAACTCATGTTTTAAATCCACCCCATTGTTTCCCCCACATATCATGCATGTCAATAAAGACATGCATGATATTTAAGCACCAAAATGAAAATTTACAATACATATTTTCACCTCCTCAAGTGCAAGTAATACAAATACTTAAATTTTCACATTGTACACGCCAAAACTGTCAGCAAGAATCCCAAAGCAATTGAACGATCCCGATGGCTGTCAAACAATCAAGGCACCATTCCATCTAACAAGCGGCCTAGTGATCAGAATCGACTAACGCACTATTTTGAGAGATTCAATTAGCGGATTACACATGTAGTCCCAACCGACCAAAATGCATGCAAGAGCTTTTGATCACAAGCTAGTCGGCCGACCCACATTTGCTTATGTTGGGTGAGACCTTCATTCGATAGGGTGCCTCGACCAGCCTTACTTTGGGAGCTGCGATCGCCACTCAACTGGCTGCCTCAATGACCGAATTCAAGCATGTCGACCCCTCCCCGCCATATTATAATTCAAATTGTAATACAAATATGACATAAAATCTATAATTAATTAGAATATTTATTGTATTAAAATCAGTTTCCATAATTATTTGATCATTTCTATAATTGAATAAATACACCTCTATAAATAAGAGGCAAAATGACATATACAGACCCCTCACTCGGCTCACTCCACAGAGAACTCGACTTATTCTACTCCACCTCTCTTTCTTTTACCTCCTTTGTCCGGTTCTAAGTCTCTAGAAGTGTTCATAAAGGTCAGTTTAGAATTCAACTCTCGGATCAATGCTTTGTGTGAAATGCCTAACGTACCTATTGCAACTAATATACATTGCTAACAAGAAGCCAAGCCTACAATTTAGAATCAATGTCAATCAAAATATAATCTCTAAATATTTTATATTAGGTTTCTTTTTAATTTGTTGGGGGCATTTACATGCATGTCACACAATTTTTACATATTTACACATCTAACATTCAAATTTACATATTTTCATGCATAGCACTCAAACCAATAATAATACATAAAAAACATCACTATTATTAAATTTTTAAAAATGAAATACACCTTTTCATGCATAAATTTATGATAGTTGTGGGCTCAAATGCATAACATTTTCGTTGAAAATAATAAGTTAGCATGCTCACCCCAACT